GACAACATCTTAAAAAGCAGAGACATCACCTTGCCCACAAAGGTTCGCATAGTCAAAGCTATGGTTTTTCCTGTACTGATGTATGGAAGTGAGAGCTGGACCATCAAGAAGGCTGACCGCCAAAGAATTGATGCTTTTGAATTGTGGTGCTGGAGGAGACTCTTGAGAGTCCCCTGGACTGCAAGGAGAGCAACCCTATCCGTTCTAAAGGAAATCAACCCTGAGTGCTCATTGGAAGGACAGATCCTGAAGCTGAGGCTCCAATCCTTTGGTCATCTGATGAGAAGACTCCCTGGAAAAGCCCCTGATGTTGGGGAAGTGTGAAGGCAAGAGGAGAAGGGGACGACAGAGGACGAGATAGTTGGACAGAGTCATTGACAGCTACAAACATGAATTTGACCCAACTCCGGGAGGCAGTGGAAGACAGGAGGGCCTGGTCACAAAGGTCACAAAGAATCGGACACAATGACTAAACAACAATAGGAGACGCAAAACAAAGTGAAAACAAAATCATCGTCATTGCTTGTGGATGAAACACACTTCAGTGGCCCCCATAGCCATCGGGGTTTTTGGAACAATATCAGGAAATTTCACACAGTATTATAAGCAGTTGCAGACCTCAGAAATAACACCATCAGAGCTACAAAAAAAAGCAATACTGTATTAGGGACAGCATACTGCACCAATATTTAACAGATACTTTGGTTTTTATTAAAACTTGTACAGTATCTGTTAAATAATAGCACTCAGTGTTTTACAGTTTTGATTGATTGTGGATGATGATGGTGATGATGATGATGATGATAATAATAACAACAATTGTTGTTGTTGTTGTTGTTGTTGTTGTTGTTGTTGTTGTTGTTGTTGTTGTTATTATTATTATTATTATTATTTTGTAAAATAAACCACTACATGGACAACATCTGAGAAATATAGATGGAAAGCATGATAACAATTCAACATGGGCATACCTACAACTGAGGACCATTAAGAAATTGAAGGCTTGATTTTTGCTGCATAAAAAAAACAGTGCTCCAAACCAAAGTGATGAAAGTAAAGATTGAAGGTGCTAACAGCAAATTTCGACTCTGCCAAGAAAAAGATGAAACGGTATCACACCTCATCTGCAAATGTCCAAAGATTGCACTAACAAATTACAAAGTTAAGACATGACAGAGTGGCCAAATGACTGCACTGGTCATTATTCAGAAAATATAACATGTCAGCCTCCAAAAGCCCATGGGACCATCAGGTAGAGAAGGTGTCAGAAAATGAGGAAGTCAAGATCTTGTGGGATTTCTGGATCCAAATGGATAGACACCTTGAACATAACACACCAGAGATAGCAGTAATACAACAGAGAAATGTCTGGATAATAGACATTGCAATTTCAGTGGATGCCAGCATTAAAGATGAAGAATTGGGAAAACTAACAGAATACAGAGATCTGGCAATTGAAGTATCCAGCTTGTGGATGAAACACACGTCAGCGGTCCCCGTCATCATTGGGGCTTTGCGAACAATATCAAGAAATTTCCAACAATACTATAAGCAGTTGCGGATTTCAAAAATCAGCTCATCAGAGCTACAAAAATCTAGCAATATTAGGAAATCATATATACCACATCAATATTGAGCAGATAATTACGTATCTGTTGCATAATACCAGTAAATATTTTTATAATTTTGATTTACTGTGCGTGGCATTTTTGAACAATAATAATACAGTGGTGCCTCGCATAGCGAGGTTAATCCGTTCCGGATTAACCCTCGCTATGTGAAAATATCGCTGAACGGGACGGGGAAAGCCATTGGAACGCATTAAACTTAGTTTAATGCGTTCCAATAGGCTCCAAAACTCACAGTTCAGCTAAGTTTTCCTATAGCCGACAGCCATTTTCGCGCCCTCGGTAAGCGAGGGGAGGGCGTGAAAATGCTGCGCGCTGCCATTTCGGGGCTTCCGGCGGCCATTTTGGAGCCGCCGAACAGCTGATCCGCGGCTTCGTTTTGCGAAGATCGGTAAGCGAAACGCTTACCGATCTTCGCAAAGCAATTTTCGGCCATAGGGGCCATTGGTATGCGATCGCATTTGCAATCGCTAGAACGTCCTCGCTATGCGATTTGTCGTTCTACGGTGCGCTCGTTAAGCGAGGCACCACTGTAATAGCAACAAAGAGACAAAGACATTGTGGCACCTTAAAGACTAACAGTTATATTTTAATGTGAGCTTTTGTGGAACAAGTCCACTTCTTCATGCGTAAAGAGCGAGAATACAGAGACTTCATGGCAAAACATTCATACAAGGCTCTAAGAGAGTAATAGTTGGTAGACTCAAGTTGCCTTTCACACCTAGTAATGATCTAAGACCCCTGTTTGGTGTTCGGTTCTTTTCTTTTCAAGCTTTGTTCTGTAGGAAGCCACAATGATTAGTTGCTAAAGAAATAAAAATCATCATCATGCCAATTCTGACTTAGGCAACCTTTTTCAGGTTTTCTAGGTAAAGTGTACTCAGAAGTGGATGTAGAGGCAACCTAGGACTGTGCAGTAACAGTAGAAACAACGTGTGTTAATAAGTTACGAATCACTGGCTTTACCTTTGAAGCTTGTGATATAAAGATGGCTGTGGTTAGTTGGGAAGGACAATGACAGCAGATAACATAGTTATTGTTGTATTTTACATTTGGTAATGTCTTAAGAACCCCTGTGTAATACCTAATCCTTTGAAATGAGTATTACGCATGTGTGTATTTTTTTTTCTAATCTCATCTATTTTTCTCTAGATTCTTGTTCTGTAATTTTTCTTTCAGACCAAGAACCCAGAGGGAAACAGCTGAGATAAAATATATGTATGCATATGCTTAATATTCATCTTAATGGATGTTCTCATTTGTGATTGCTACTTTTAGAACAGGTCCTTCCTGGGGAAGTTTGACTCGCCAACAGTAACATTCTAGAAAGCAGCTTTGCCGTGCTCTGCCCCGACTCTGCCCCATCTTAGCTTTGAGAAGGAAGAAAAGAAGACATAAATTCATGCAGGAATAAGAGACATAATCTTATGCATATGAGGGTTATTTTTTAATTACATGGATGTATAAACAGCCTTTAGATTCCATACACCCAAGAAAGGTTCTGCTGTTTTTGCTGCACCCATTATTTAGAAGCCCTTTTGCAGAAATGTGCTTAGGTTTCCTGTTGCATTTGTTCAAGCCCACAGCTTCTTGCCATTCCCAGCTGCTTTTCCAAGGTCTTTCTACAAGCCAAGCTATTTGGAAGTGAAAATATCTGTGGAATGATTGACGCACCCCTTTCTGCTTCAATGTGTGGGCCAATGCTCTCAGGCACTGATACACTGCCATGGTATCTTTCACAAGCACTACTCGGTCCTTGAATGCTCTCCACATTGTTGATGCGGGCAGGCGAATGTCTGCTTTAGACACTGTTTCCTGGAATTGTTTCCTGCGGTTTTTCCACATAACTCACTGCCCATTCAGAAAAGACCTAACAAAGCTGATTGTAGCAGAACCACACAGCATTTATGAGGAAGCAGATAGAAGCTGCATGGCGTGTGGTTGCACCATTCTTCTAGCGCAGCAGCAATTCCCCAGAGTTTGGCAATTAGACCGTCAGGCACTACCTTGAGATCTCAGGGACTGAACCTGAAATGTTCTGCATGCGAAGCAGTGGCTCTACCACTGAGCTATGTTCTCTGTTCTGTTCATCTTCCCTATTGCCTTGCAGAGCTGTTGGTGAAAGGCTAGTATTACTGTATGCCTTAGGAACAGTGCATATTGAAAATTACTGTATGCCTTAGGAACAGTGCATATTGTAACACACCATGGCAAATCCTGGTTAAAACATTATGATATTTATACAATACCTTGGTTTCTCTTTTAGTCAGTCAAGTTTATTGTATTAGCTAAAAGCCGTCACAATTGTTTAAAATACAGATATGGTCAATTAAAATCATGATAAAACCACAGACATATAAAATGATACTCTGGTTTCTCTTCAGATCGCATAAACCTTGGTTTCTCAGTGCTTCCAGTTTCTTCAGAGGCACCCCAGTATATCTAATGTTTCAGTATTTTTAGTGCATTGGCTAAAATATACCGTATTTTTCACCTTTCCATAAGACGCACCAATTTTTAGGAGAAGAAAACAGTATAATATAATCTGTTTTCTTCACTCCATAAGACGCACAGACTTTCCACCAGCCCCCGTTTTGTGGGGAAAAAATTGGTCTTATGGTGCGAAAAATACAGTATATATAAATGCCGCTTTGTCCTTATGGAATACATGTGTGATGCACAATAGGTATGACTATAAGTAGTCATAAATGGACACAACTGTAAAATGGAATAGTAGACAAGCTTCCATTATCTTACTGCCATAAGACGCACAGACTTTCCACCAGCCCCCGTTTTGTGGGGAAAAAATTGGTCTTATGGTGCGAAAAATACAGTATATATAAATGCCGCTTTGTCCTTATGGAATACATGTGTGATGCACAATAGGTATGACTATAAGTAGTCATAAATGGACACAACTGTAAAATGGAATAGTAGACAAGCTTCCATTATCTTACTGCCTTGCCACCCTGTGAGCATCCAGCAGCAATAACACTATGTGAGGGGATCCCGTGCACTGTTTTGGGTTGCTTCTGGTCATCCACTCAGCATGCCCCTGTTCTTTTGCACACGTAACGTGGGAGGACTACTGCTATCTTCATCTGTTGCGGAACTGTCAGTGGCTTTATGTTTATGTGGATCACAGCTTCCTGTGAAATCCTCTTGTGGTGGTCTCATGCATGTTTGGCAAGGCTGCTGTTGTCCCCCTTGTACAAAGAGCATGTTGCTTGCTTGACTGTGGAAGTAGTAATGGCTGCTGTGTGCATCTCTCCCTTTCAAAACAAAACAAGTCTGGATTTCTCCCTATGGCCCTCGACTCTGCTTCCAAGGTTGCAATTCCCTCCTTTCCCCCCACCATCTTCTCTTCATCAGCTGGAGCTCAAGAAACATATTTAACACATTCAGGAAACCAAAGGGAAGCAACCGAAAAGTCCGAACCCCGAAAGGCAGGGAAGGAGTTCATCGATGGCCAAAACCAAGACTATGTCTATGGGACCAATGAAAGTCTGGGAACAAAGGCAGCCTCTGCGGGTCCTCCTGGCCCAGAAGAAGGCTCTGATGGCTCCAGAGCTCATACATGTGGTCCAGCACTGCAAGCTGGTTCCCTGGGGCATAGTAATCCTAAAGGAGATGTCTCTGTAAATGGGAAGGCTGATCTGAGTGGACGTGACCAGCTGAAAGAACTGGCTTCCAGCGTAGAATCCAAATTTGCTTTGCTGACCAACCCGCAAGGAGAACCTGCGCAGCCTCAGTCCAAAGTTGGATATTCCCACTCCTCAGCAATGGGTGACGCTGCGGTGGAGAAAGAGTCTCCCGAATCTCCATTTGAAGTGATTGCTGACAAACTGGAATTTGATAAGGAATTCAAGGAGGTCCTTGCAAGCAGCGCCAGTGACATTGGCAGCAACTGGGTCCTGCATAACGAGCGGGAGATGCTGACAGACATTCCAGAGGACAGTGTCTGTGAGTTTCGGGCCAAGCCACGGAGTGGTGGCAGAATTCCTCCTGTTCCCGGGCTCTCGCGCCAATCCTCGGGCACCACCGCAGCCCTCGAAGAGGTCTCCAAGTGTGTCCGCGAGATGCATAGCTTCACCAATGAGCTGCTCAACTGGGATCTGATCCCCAAGGATCTGGATGACAAAGCAGAAGTGTTGGTTCACTCGGGAGTCTCAGCGTCACCTCCCCAAGATACCAACACTGACCTTACGCGGTTGAAGGCCGGTATCATGGAAGTGGGGAAGGCTCCCACCCCTCATCACCCGGTCACAGTCAGCCTCCACCCAAAAAGCCGGCTGCCTCCAGAGGTCGAAGGAAAGCAGCCGGCGGTCTCTCAAGGGGCAGGTGTTGGGAAGAAGGTCGCTGTGGCCACCGCTGCCTCCGTGGAGCCAAAGCCTGCTGACATTAGTTGGTCAAATCCTGGCCTTCCCGAAGCAGTTGATGTTGACAGCTCCAGCGAGTCCGATGACACCGTCATTGAGGACGCGGCGGCAGAGATGACCTTCCGAACGGAGAAGTTGCCCGAGAGTGACAAGCCAGAAGCAGAAACTGTGCAGGCAGAAGCAGGAAGGGCTTTGCACAAGACGGCTGGACTCCACCCAGAAAGCAGGGTTCCTTCCAAGAACGCGGAAGGCACTTTGGGAGCCCCTGATCACTTCAAAGCCATCCAGGCCAAGGCTGATGTTCTTCAGAGGAGCCCGCCGGCTGGATCTAAGACAGGGAGGGAACTGGGTACTTGCAGGCAGGACTTTGTTGGGAAGCAATCCAGTGCCGAAGGCCTCCCTCTTTCCCCACGAGCAGTCTCCCCGTCTCTCCCTTTAGAGAAGGCGAAAACGGCGGTGTGTCCAGAGGCTGCGAAGGCCGAGGGCTTCATGGACTTCACGAAGGAGGGTTTGAAATCGGAAGGGAATGACTCCCCCGAAGACCCCGTTGAAACTTTCTCAGAGGCCGAGCTCAGGGCAGCCCGCTCTCACGTGGCGGCTCCAGATTTCCAGCGGCCGCCCCAGGCAGCTCAAGACTTTGAGCAAGAGCACCTCACGATCAAGGCCCTCAAAGAAGCCGGCCGGAAGACTGAGATGGAAAGGCAGCCCTCCACTCCAGGCCGGAGCTCTCTGCCTAGCGGGAGGGCTTCTGGGCACTACTTTCATACTATCCCTCAAGAGCCTCCGGTGCCTGCTCAGAAGTCGGCCTTGGAGAAGAGGCCCCTCTGCCTCGAGGAGGCGGTGGATGTGAAGCTGGCTCCCGGCCCTGCTGCTGCCGCCTTCGGGGCACACGGCGTTTCCAGCAAATCTTCCCAAGGGCATTCTCCTGAGCCTCCCCTACCACACATGATCAAAAAATTACTGGCTGGATTCTCAGGTAAACACACTCCTAAGTTGCTGCTTGTACCTTGCATCGAACTCACCAGATAATGAAAGTCACAATTTGCTTTATTTTATCTCCATGGCATTATTTCTTTCCCCTACCTGTGCTACTTTCCCACCTGCCGTCTCATATCTAACCAGGACTACTAAAACACTGTTTAAAAAAATCAGGCTTTCATATCCTACAAAAGTGAGGGCGGGCACTGCAGAAAGGGATGTAGGGGCAGAAAAGTTCAAAAATCATCCTAGCTGTACCGTTGTCAGTGGTCGGATTTCAACCCAGAGATTGTAGAATCAATTGTTGTTTTTTCCCATTTCTGTAGACCAGTCGATCCCAACCTTGGGTCCCCAGATGTTCTTAGGCTAAATCTCCCAGAAGCCTTCATCACTAGCTATGCTGGTCAGGATTTCTGGGAATTTTAATCCAAGGACGTTTGGGGACCCAAGGTGAGGAACCACTGCTGTAGCCAAAGGGCTTGCCAGTTGCTCCGTGAATTCCCCATTGCCTTTTATCATAGCACATAAGCTTCCCTTTTGGCCGATCGCATTAAAGCATCAAGAAGCCTGGCAGTCCCCATTATCAAAAAGCTGGAGGTTACATTGCTCCGTGAATTCCCCATTGCCTTTTATCATAGCACGTAAGCTTCCCTTTTGGCCGATCGCATTAAAGCATCAAGAAGCCTGGCAGTCCCCATATCAAAAAGCTGGAGGTTACATTTATTTGGCATACTAGGCAAAAAGGAAAAAAAATAATTGAAGGCAGATTTGAAGTGTTTCCAGCCTTCCTGAAATAGGAAGTTGTTGGTGTCAAAGATCGAGTAATGGAATGAATATCAAACATATGGGTCATGCATGCCTACCATAGGGTTCTTCTCTTGTAAATTGTAGTCTTGAGCTCCAGTTACGTGTGGGTTTTTTTTTACATATAATACAAGTTTTCAGAAAGTCAAGAACAAATGAGCTCTTGCAAGGATTGGCTGGCAGCTCAGATTTGCAAAGCCTCTCTTATCGCTGTAAATGGCTTTTGCAGAAATCTCAAGGCATCAAATGTTGTTCTTGCACAGAAAAGTCGTGTTGGTGTTACAAGGAGGGCCACTATGAGCCAGGAAGTCCTCCAATTTACATTTTACCTCTGTGATGAAGGAAAACATACTTGGTTGGCCTGAAGCAAGTAACTTCTACCATAGCTTACAAAGATGTTGTAAAGATTACCGTATTTTTCGCACCATAAGACGCACTTTTCCCCCATAAAACGGGGGTGGAAAGTCTGTGCGTCTTAGGGAGTGAAGAAAACAGATTATATTTTCCTGTTTTCTTTTCCTAAAAAATTGGTACGTCTTATGGAAAGGTGTGTCTTATGGAGCGAAAAATACGGTATAACAAAACACTATAGGGGCAGTGCTTTGAAAATACTGTATAACATTCTGGCTATTTCAACTCCTATGGCCACCATTGTATAAAGCTTACATGCTTGTTTTGTTCCCAAAGTGAAGGCTGGAATTTGGGTGTGGGCATCAGCGTTCTCAGGTGTAGCATCTATATAATTTCAGTGTGTGGCAATACTCCCACTTGCTCATTTTTTCCTACATGGGATTATCTGCGTAGGCAGGATTATATGTGCATGTTGCACCTGATCAATATAATCTACAAAAGCTCACATTCAAATATGTCTTTAGCCTTGAAAAAAGGGATATGACACTTTCAGTTTTCTCTTGGGTTTGGTTTTATCATGTGTAAAGTCACTCTAAATTCATATTGATCTAGTCAGCGACCAAGATTGACAATTCTCAGCACCTTACTAGGGAGAAAGCCTAAAAACAGTGGGACTTGCCTTTTTGCCTTGAGAAAAGAAGGCTGAGGGGAAGTATGATAGCACTTTTCAATTACTTGAAAGGCTGTCATTCAGAGGAGGGGCAGGATCCGTTCTTGACCATCCCAGAGTGCAGGACACGCAACCATGGGCTCAAGTTACAGGAAGCCAGGTTTCAGTTGAATATCAGAAAAAACTTCCTAATTGTTAGAGTAGTAAGACAACAGAACCCATTACCCCACAAGGTGGTGAGTGCTCCATCACTGGAGGCAATCAAGAGAAACTTAGCCCCCATTTAAAACATCATTTTGTGATCGCAAAAGCGATTGCAAAAATGTCAACGTAATGCGGATTTGTCGTAGAGCGGGGTAATGGTCCAGCGCAGCGCGACTGTAGATAAATAGGTACCACCATGGTAGGAAGGTAACAGCATTCTGTGTCTAGTCGCGCTGGCCATGTGACCACGGAAACTGTCTACGGACAAACGCTGGCTCTACGATTTGGAGACAGGGATGAGCATCCCGCCCTCGAGTCAAACACGATCGGACTCAATGTCAAGGGGAACCTTTACCTTTATTGAGCAGGGGGTTGGATTCAGTGGTCTTATAGGCTGCTTCCAAATTCATGATTCTGTGGTTTTCTAAGTAAATATGAATAGGATTTTCCTTTTAAATGCAAAATGTCCCCGCTCCCATCTAGATTGCACATAATTGTTTGAAATGACCCTGACATCCATCATATCAGGAGCATTTTTTGTGCTTCATTCTTGTACTTGTGTCACTGGCTAAGATCTTAGGTAAGGGGGTGATGTGGTTTATAATAGTATGGAGAAATGAAGCGTAGGTGCCAAGTTGACATTTCCTAAGGAGAAAAATTGGTTAAAATGGTGCAGAATGAAATGGGCATGTAGTTATTTTTCCCCATTTTGGGATAGTGGCATGCAAGAAAATAGCCGCTTGAGGAGGAAGGGCTCTGAGCCTGAGCATATGTTTATTATGTGGGCCTAATTTTCTCCTTCATATCCGTGTTTGGGATAGAGGCATGTTGCTCTCCTTTCTCAATGCTCATCCTGCTTCAACAATCTTTCGCTGAAATGGTAGTCTTTGTAACCAATCTGCGCTCCCTCGGACTCTACTGGGGAGGGCAAGTTGCAATTCCCAGAATGCACTGTGCCCCCATATCAGAAATAATCCATACACACAGAAAGCTAGCATGTACGGACGAATCAGCAGTAGCTGACTTCAAGCTATCACGCCAAATGCCTTCACTCGGTGCTTGTTTTGGCCAAAGCCAAGTCTTTCTGCTCTTAGGCTGGCATGCACCGTGTGCTGCAGAGGAGTGGGGAAATTTCACATAGCGATGTTCGGGACCTTGCTTCGCTTAGCGATGACAGTTTAGGTCCCCCTGTTTCGCTTAGCAATGTCCGTTTTTGCTATTTTAAATTGTCAAACCTACAGTTCAATGCATTCCAATGGGGGAGAAAAAAATTCACCAAAAATTAACGAAGACTCAGAACAAAGCCAAATTAAGTTTGCAAAGGTTTTACAAGGTGCACTAACGATACCAAGCATTTTAGACAGTTTTTGAACATTTTAAGACACTTTAAAAATAGCGAAAACGGACCTGTCAGACCCATTGAAATGCATTGAAACCTATTCAATGTATTCCAAGGGGGGGGAAACTGCATTTCGCTTAGTGATGTTTCCTATGGCGATTTTCGCTTAAGGACGGTAATCCGTTCCCATTGGAACGGATTATCCGATTTTCAATGCATCTCTATGGGAAAACGCATTTCGCTTAGCGATGTTTTCCCATAGCGATGTTTTTTTTTGGAACCAATTAAAATCGTTAAGCGAGGCACCACTGTACAAGGATGCCTTTGGCACTTTTAGGAAGAACGACAGCATCTGTGAAGCCCTTCTGGTGGAGGGAGGAGCGCTAAGACGCTCTGGGCCTGATGCAGGACTGGGGAGAGTGTTTCGTCTTCCTGCCAAGCTGAGCTCCCCTCCCCAGGAGGCTGCGCAGCTTTTATGGCCTGCTAGGAGACAAGCACAAGGCAGAGAGAGATTCTTGGCTTGCATTCTCTTCCGGGAAGGGCAGAAATGATTGACTTGGGTTTAGTTTTGGGCCATCCAGAGCTCCTGTCTTTCTTTTCAAGCCAAACTGCATGCAAATGTCGGGAGGGGGTAAATGAGAGGCAGGCCCATATTGCTTTTCTTCTCTCTGGGTCAGGGAGCAAGCAGCCTGAAACAGAGGGGGAGAGGGGGTTACTTTATAAACTTTTATCTTTGGCAAGCTGCCTGCCGCCCCTCTCCCATCGAGAGGGCGCAGCTCCTCCCATGTTGGAACAGAGCGCACGTTGTGCTGTGTTTTAAATGCCTCTTCTGTCTGGCTCCCGGACCACTTGACTCTGGGAGGAGACGTTGCCCGAAACAAGGGCCACATGCTTTGCATGTGCCACCGCCCCAGGTGCACTCCCTGGCATCTGGAGTCCCGGGCTCATCATTTGAGGGGAGGAAACCTTCCACAGGCGTTATGTCCTCCTGGCTCCACAATCTCCACAGCACAAGAGGATCTTTCTTGACTGAGGCCTTTGGGGAATCATTCGACTTCTCAGTAGGGCAGGACTGAGTGTGACAGATCAAATTGGTCCAGCTTAAGATAAAGCAGCTTAACCTACTCCTGTTGTATATGCATTGGTCCAAGTAGCAGTAAGTTCCAAAGGATAGCATTTGGTTTAGGGAAGAGAGAGCAAGAGTCTTGTGTTGTTTTTGCTGCAAGTGTTTTCTTTGCAAATATTAAGGCACAATGTGAGCTGAAACAAAGAGGGATAGCTGCTAAACTGCTGATGTGCCACCTTGCCTGGAAGCCCCAGATGCTTTTAGACTAGGCGTCCTTCAGTCTCGAGAGACAATGGTCACGTGCTCTGAAAGAGGACTTGGAACAGTGTCTAGTGTGGGTGAGAAGGCCAATCCCCTTCTCAGTACAGTAAATTGCAACTAAAATAGGTCCATTTGAATCTGTGGAGAAGAGGACTCACCAAATCCCCACTGATACAGTGGTCCTACTCTCATTGTGACTTACTATGCTAAGCAGCAGGATTTCAGCCTCTGTTTTGTGCCATGAGTTCCATTTATTGGCTGATGTGTTGGGTCATTTGTCATACTCTTGCTTGAATGAGCAAATAGGAAGCTGTTTTGCTGCCTGAGGAGAACACGCCTCTACCACAAAATTTCATGTAAAGAAGCTGATTGGTCTGGCTGTTGAATCTTGCTTCAGTGTTGGTGATGTGATGGTACCTCCAGTACACAAGAGTGCAATAGGCAAGCTTAGGAAGCACAGTGCAAGTTACGGGGCATAGACAGTTCTTTCTTTTGGAACCTCACCTCTGCTCTCTACTCCCTAATGTCTGCCACCTGAGGCCTCATTGCTTAATGGTCGGGTCAGTCCTATATAATTTTCTGTTTTCCCATCTTGAGCATCACTAAGCATTACTAATCACTATTGTTTTGAATTGTTTTTAACTGTTTTAGTTTACAATGTTTAATGGAACCCGCCCGAAGTAAACTCTGTCTAAAGGGGCAGGATAGAAATCTAATAAATAAATTAAATACTTAAATAAACAAACAAACAAACATGGTGGCTGCTTTGTCGATGCATTTATCCGGCTCGACATCTAGGGAGAGAGTGTCAGAGATTGTTGAGCCAAGGTACACAAAGTCATGAACAACCTCCAATTCTTGTGTGGAGATGGTAATAGAAGGAGGTGAGTCCACGCCCTGGCCCATGACTTGTGTTTTCTTCAGGCTGGTTGTTCATCCAATGTCTTGGCAGGCCTTGCTAAAACGATTCATGAGTTGTTGGAGGTCTTCAGTAGAATGGGCAACAACAGCCCGCTTGAAAACGATTAACCTTCTACAAGCCCGAATGGCCACCTCATATGAAAACTTAAAGAAATTCCTAATTATCAAGAAGCAGTTGCTTATCACTGACATAACCCTGAGGTGAACAGAAGTTTAGCCCTCCTGCTTTGGGACTGAATGTCCAAGGTTAATTAACCTTGGCCTCAGCCTGATGAAAATCTGATGAAGATTTGCCATTTAGCAGCTTCTGGAGGGAAGGACTTTTGTCTCCCAGTCCCCTGGACTGCAAGGAGAACAAACCTATCCATTTTGAAGGAAATCAACCCTGAGTGCTCACTGGAAGGACAGATCCTGAAGCTGAGGCTCCAGTACTTTGGCCATCTCATGAGAAGAGAAGACTCCTTGGAAAAGACCTTGATGTTAGGAAAGTGTGACGGCAAGAGGAGAAGGGGACGACCGAGGATGAGATGGCTGGCCAGCATCTGCAAAGCAACCAGAACAAACATGGTGGCTGCTTTGTCGATGCACAACTTTGTCGATGGACACAACTATGGGAGGCAGTGGAAGATAGGAGGGCCTGGCGTGCTCTGGTCCATGGGGTCACGAAGAGTCGGACATGACTAAACGACGACATCGCTGGGCTGGATTACAGATTCAGACACAGAATTCCTGTTGAAATTGATGGGGCAAGTTGGCCGTGGCAGAAGTCCCACCGGCTTCAGTGGAATCACTCTGGAGCCATTCCAGTCAAACGGTGATGACCAACCCAGGTTTTCGCAGTCCTCCCAGCACAGAAGAGATGGGGCTGAGCAGAGCTTGCTTCTTTAATACGGGGCTTGGCTGCAAGACTGTCTTCCTGCTAATCATGAAGCAGGGCAGGTATTTGGGCTAAGAGAGGCAGGGGATGACTTCATCATGCTCTCTGCTGTTTATCCCAATTATTCTCCCTCCCTAACCCCCCCCCAGTCTCACATACACACCATATTATGTTTTTAGCCAGCATTCACGGAGTGTCTTTGAATTTTGTTTCATGGCCAAGGGGGACTGGCAATTTTTAATTATTATTCTGTTAGTGGCAGTGGAGATTCTGAGGATGCGAAAATGCAGGCAGCCTTGTTTTTCCTCATCAGCCTGGGCGCTCCCAGAGCTCATGAAAAATTCAAGCAAAATTCAGCAGGATGCAGGGAAGCCAACCAAAGACTTCCCAGCAGCAGGCTGGTAAAACAGAGAGAGAACGCAATGAAATGGAAGCGAATCAGAGCTTCGTTGGGGGGGAGGAGGAGATGCAGGCACTTTTATTCACCTTGCCATTATTAGACGTTGATTATTATTTATTCATCATCCCTGATGTGTTTTCCTCAGAGGCATCTTCAGTGGGAGATGCCAAGATGAGGATGTCATTGCCAGTGCAGGCGTGCCAACATGTATAGCTTCTGACATGGTGTCCCACCTCCTTTTTTTGCTTTGACCTTGCTCTGAGTTTGTGAACTGGGTTTTCTTCTGCATTTTTTTGAATCCCAAAGACTCATTTTTGGCTCCTTTGACAATTACAGTTGTGCCTCGCTTGACGACGTTAATCCGTTCCAGCGAAATCGCTGTAGAGTGAAATCATCGTCAAGCGCGGGGGACGTTAATCCGTTCCAGCGAAATCACTGTAGAACGAAATCATCGTCAAGCGGGGGGACCAATTGAAAACCGCTCAATGCGTTCCAATGGGCTAAATACCTAATCGTCCAGCAATCCTCCATAGGGCAGCTATTTTCCAGTGCCTGTCTTGCGAAAAATCCATCCTAAAAACAACAGGGAGCCATTTTGCACAGCGGGCTGCCATTTTGAGAGCTGCCGCTCAGCTGTTTTTAACCCATCATTAAGCGAAAAATCGGGTCTTGAAGCAGGGAACCAATCATCGTAAAGCAATTTTCTCCCATTAAAACATTGTTTTGCGATCGCAAAAACCTCAGCGTCAAGCAGATTCGTCGTTTAATGAGGTAATCATTAAGCGAGGCACCACTGTATTTCACTGTAGAGTTGGCGGGGGAGAGGCGAGAGGAGGTGACTTAGCTAAGCTGTTGCTGCAGAATTTCCCCTAGACACACATGCATCTCTCCATCTTCCTTTTCCCTGACTCCACCCCACCATTTCTCAAAGCAGGTTCTCTTCTGAACCCATTGCCTGCTCTCATTCAGCTCACCCGAGAGCCCACAGGAAAGCAGAAGGACTGCATTGGCTTCTTCCTCAAATACAGTGATGCCTCGCAAAACGAAATTAATTTGTTCCATGAGTAGTGTCATATTGCGAAAATTTCGTCTTGCGAAGCGCGGTACTAACGGTTGTGCGATTTAAAACAAATCCAAAAAAGGAAAAAAAATTCATCTTGCGAAGCGTGGCCATAAAAAAATTCATCTTGCAAGCCACCAAAAAATCGCAAAACGCTTTCGTCTTGCGAGTTTTTCATTGCGTGAGGCATTCGACTTGCGAGGCATCACTGTATATAAATGCATTTACTCACTGCAAGTATGTGTCTGTGGATAGCATTCGGGGCCTTTATTTCTATTATTTATCTGCCGCCTGTCTCCTCTCGGGGGGCCCAGGATGGCTCACATATGCTGTATGATAGTCAGCTGGTTTTAAATACCATGTATATACTGTATCAAAAGCCAATTAAACATATACAAACATTAAAAACCAGAGATATGTATGTAAATTATATCCCAGATGTGTCCAAGGGGTAGCATGGGGCTTGTTCAGGCCTGGCAGTTCCGCCTGCTTTTGTCCTCCGGTGTGGACTTGTGAAACCAAGCCTTCTTCCTTAGCTGCATCGCCTATTATGGGTTGGCTAAGAAGAAGAAGAAGCCACAGTGTGTGGATTTCTGTGACCTCATACCTGTGGCTACAAGCTACAAATCTGAAGGAAAAGTGTAGCCTTCCCTCTTATAGGGGTAACAGAAGCCTCTTCGTAGAGTTGGATGGATACGGCAGGTCCAAATTGAGCCGTGGACGCCTGCTCTCTCCGAATGCCAGTGTTCACTGGGGTTGATGTGTATATTTTCAAACCCAGGCGTTCCTAAGGCTCCAGAAGTGATTGTGCTTGCTCTCTACATGTTTCCCTTTTTGTGTGGGCTGCCCATCTGTTACTAAAAGACAGCTTGGCTACAACCTCGCCGTTGTTCCTTGACTGTAGGGGATGTATATTACTAATGGTGGGGCAGACGGTCTACTCTAGACCATGCAGGGCTTGTGGGTTAACCCGGAGTAAGCTCTTGTAGAGAAGAAACACAACCTCCATTATGTTCTAGTGCTCCGATTTCTGGGTTTGAAATGGTTTAAATCTTTTTGCATTCAGCTTTGATCAGCTTACTAGGAATTCTGTCAAACACCAAAACAGATCCCAGAAACCAGAGATCCGTTCACTGCTGACCTGAGCTGCAGATAAGGAACTGAAGTCCTGAGACACCCAACAGGAGGGGTGTGCATGTTCTGAGTTATCCGGGAACGCCATTTGCCCTCATCCTGGATCCTCTTTGTGCTGCTACCAACACTACCTACAAACTGGAAGAATGCTTGGCTTTGCAGGGTACAAACGTCTGGTCGTGTGGATGGCTTTTAAATATATTTATATCTTTAACCTGCCTTTGTCCTTGTTTGTTTCATTTGTTTTAAATTACAATAAGTGAGAATATGCCGTTTGCAGGCTTCTGGATCAACTAAACTGTATAAATAGTTAATTGTTCTATAAAAGATCCTCCCCGGTCTGCCCTCTGGCTGTTTGGCGCTTCAGCTCCCATGATCCTTCACCATTTTAACTGGGGCTGAAACCTATCGGGGAGGACTGAGCTAGTGTTTGACAGTCTGGGTGGGGGGCAAGAGAGTCTCTTTCAGAAGCCCTATGATTTTTGTCTCAAAGGTTTGACTTTTGTACTGCTTTAGATTACAGGTGGTTACAGATTCTGGGGGTTGCAGTCCGAGGATCGCTGTTTATTCTTGTTTGCCCACCTGTCTCTACCTCAGGTGGCAACTGAACCTAGAGAAGGGATTTATTTGGCTGTCTAGCCATCCTGCCCAATGACCGCTGGCATCTTTATGCTTGTTCTCCCCCTTTCGTAGTGCATGACCTGATCTTCTGGCGGGATGTGAAAAAGACAGGCCTCGTCTTCAGCACGACGTTGATCTTGCTTCTCTCCTTGGCCGCCTTCAGCGTCATCAGCGTCGTGTCGTACCTCATCCTGGCACTCCTCTCGGTCACCATCAGCTTCCGAGTCTACAAGTCCGTCATCCAGGCCATACAGAAATCTGAAGATGGGCATCCATTCAAGTAAGTGGACATGGCCCAAGTCATCTGTCATCCTCAGCTTTCACTTTCCGGAAAACTTTATTGTCTTCCCTGCTTACCGATAGCTCTTCTGAATCCTGGGCAAAAAAAGGGTTCTTTCTTCACCTGTTGCCTCTCTTGTAATTTAACTTAAGGGCAGTGAACCTTTTTTCACCGAAAGGCCAAATTCAATTTCAAGAAATTTTTTCTGGAGCTACATTTCATTGGGGGTAAATCAGGGCCAAGGGCAACAGGCACCCGGAATAACTACCGATTTCATCTTAAAGCCCTTGCAGTCTATAATGAAGCCTCTTGGAAAAGCATTTTAATACATAAATAAAAGGTCCATGTTTTAAAAGCAAGGGGAAACAAAAGCAGGAAAACCTCCATATGAAGCCATGAGAAGGGGGCATCAAGGGAATTCCCCTGGGGGCTGTATTCCACCCCAGGACCCAAATTTCCTTGGCTAGGATTCAAAGGGTTGAGTCAAGAAGAGCACAACGTTTTTGTGTGTCTGCTTGTTGCTTAGCAGTGATCTTTCTCCCTCTGTATGCACACTGTAACAGCAGTGAAAAAAACGCAGTAGAAGTCAATATCTGCTTATAGATAGGTATTTGCATTTCCGAGTTTCAGGATTCTAGAGTTCTTCTTGTGCAGAAAGATTGTTTCTGCTTGCCAAAGAGCAGTTTACTCCAAAACATATTGGCTGTTCTAGAAACATATTTTTTTCCTTAAACTACAACATAAACATAAAATACATAAACCAAAATACAAATCGACTGTGTTCCCCACCACCATAGACAGGACCTCTTGCAGTAATCCTCTTCTTCCTCTATCTTTATTCTTCTTTTTCCTTTATTATCCTCCAGAACTGCATTGATTCTTGATTTGGAGCTTTCCCTTTTCCTTTTGTTAGCACATGTTCAAGAAATCTGCCCCATACAGTGGACCCCTGACTTATGAAGCTCCCCACTTAAGAAAATTTCGAGGTACAAAAAGCTCCGGCCGCAAAATTTTGGTTCGACTTGCGGCTGGAGCTTCGACCTATGAAAGGCAGGGGGAATGGGCGGGAAATTCAAGGCCACCCCTGCTGCCCTCTGCCTCCCGTCCCCTTTGCCCTCTACCTCCTGTCCCCACGAGGACAGGAGGCAGAGGGCAACGGGGATGGGGGACAGCTTAAAATCTCGAGGTACAAAAAGCTCCGGCCGCAAAATTTTGGTTCGACTTGCGGCTGGAGCTTCGACCTATGAAAGGCAGGGGGAATGGGCGGGAAATTCAAGGCCACCCCTGCTGCCCTCTGCCTCCCGTCCCCTTTGCCCTCTACCTCCTGTCCCCACGAGGACAGGAGGCAGAGGGCAACGGGGATAGGGGACAGCTTAAAATTCATTATTTTGATGTTGTTGCATCTTGAGTTATTTTCCAAATAAATCACTTTCTTTTGCAAATCATCTATCTTCTGTTGCTGTGCCTTTGTTTTCCCTTCATTCTGTTTTGATAAATCTTCCATTTGCTTTACTCTGTCCTCCATTTTTGCTATGCTTGCCTTCATCCCCTGGACTGCTTTCATGTCCTTTCCCGTCTGTTGACATTCCTTCACTAAAGAGTCTAGTTTGGAAATAGCCTGTTCCAGTTTTTTTATCAATCTGGCATGGTATATCTTTAGCCAGATCATTCACACAAATTGTTAATTCAGCAGTCTTTTTTCCATGCTAGCTTCGATAAGACTGCTCAGAGAGGTATCTCTCCCCCCCCCCCTTTCAAGCAGCTACCCGAGTCTCTTTAGAAACTTATTTAGGAGCGGGAGATTGCACTTCTATTTGTCTTAAGCATTTGAGACTGATCTGACAGTTTTTTCTCTGACGGCTCTCGTGTCCAACTTTTAGAACTCTATTTTTTCTCATATGCAAAGCAAAAGATTCATAGCACAGGAAAACAAAGTAGAAACATCTGTTAACCTTCTTCAGAACCCTTTTTGTCTTAATCCCTCTTGTCATGTTTGCCCTGTTTAGTCCTCCACAGAGAGAGAGAGAGAGAGAGATGCGCACACGCGTTGTCTCCCTCCAACACAGGTAGCTAGACTTCACAGCTATCTCCATCAGGCCCAACTGTGGTCTTCCTAAGGATGTATTCTTGTCAACTTAGCAAAGAAAAAAACACCCAAGCCATATTGGTTGATGTCACTGTGCAAAAACACAGTTGGCAGCCTCCGGTGTGGCTGAGCTGAACGTCAGATAAACTGGGCTTCTGTAAGCCAGTGACTGGCTGAAGTCCCGTTGGTTTCTTTGACTCTGCCTTCTGTAGGGCTCAGCCTGGCTCTTAGCCAGTGTTTTGAAAAAGGCAGTCCTTGTGGGGTGCTGAAGTCCCGTTGGTTTCTTTGACTCTGTCTTCTGCTCTAAGCCATTGTTTTGAAAAAGGCTGTCCTTGTGGGGCATTCCCTCCCTTTAACCCTGAGCGGGCTGGCGCAGGGCCGTGCCCACTGGGAGGACAAGCCTGCCCTTTTGCTGCTGGAGAAAAGACCACACAGAACCTTTTTCCCAGCCCTGTCGGTTGGTTCGGAAGACGGTCCCCTAGTCGGGAGAATTAAGGAATTTTGGCTTAACGCCCAGATGGAGGCCACGTGCCTGACAGCAGTGGGGGGACCTCCATCCTGGCACCCTGCACCCGAGGCTGTGCCCTGGCCCCTTCACCTCTCCCAGCAGCTTCCCCTCCATGCCTCATGAGTGATGCAAGAAGAGATTGTGTTTCTCTGTCTGTTGCCGTCTTGCCCTGTCCTCCTGCGCAGCCCTGGGGAAAGAAGGCTCGCTACCAGCTTCCGCTTTTGTCTGTGGTCTCGCCAACAGAGGATCCCCAGGCGTTACTCACATCTTGAGCCGAGAAGCAAAAGCGAAGAAGGCTCGCTACCAGCTTCCGCTTTTGTTTGTGGTCTCGCCAGGCGTTACTGATATCTTGAGCCGAGAAGCAAAAGCGGTGCTTGTTGTCCTCCATGTGTCCTTCCCTCCTCTTTTTCCTTCCCAGGAGCTACCTGGACCTGGACATCACCCTCTCCTCCGAGGCTTTCCACAACTACGTCAGCTCTGCGATGGGGCATGTGAATCGGGCTCTGAAGCTCATCATGCGCCTCTTCTTGGTGGAGGACCTGGTGGATTCCTTGAAGGTAAGTGTGGGCCCAGATTCATCCGTTGCCCTATGAGTAGGGTTCCTCTTGTGTCGTCATTGGGATTGTTGAGGGGCAGATCTTTCACTTGGGGAAAAAACACCAGCTGTGATACGGCATGGCGCTTTAAGCCCTTGAGCAGGGAAATAGGAGGGTCACCTGCCCGGTATCAAAAACAGCAGCCCGATTTTCTCCACGGCTGAATCCAGCCGTCCCATTTGTCCTTATGTCTTGGCATAAGAAGAAGGGAAAAAAAACCGCTTGCCTGCTGCTCCCATCAGTCTCAGCCAGCTTAGCCAGCCATAAAGAAGTCTGGGAGTTGTAGGCCAAGAAAGTTGGAGCTTCCGTATCATGAACTGGGCCTTCGGCTACTCCCCTGCAGCTCTTGTGGAAAGAGGAGAGGGGAGGACAGACGGAGCTGACCCCTGTAGAAGCATGTTCCTCTTGTCTCTGCCCCTTACCTGATCTGTCTTCACCTGCCCGCCTCAACATGGCTGCAGAGGTTGAGCTCTCCATACCCTCCTCCCAGCTGTTAGCAAAAGATACCGGTTATTGGTTCAGTCCTGCTGGCCCAGACATCAGCAACTCAAAGCATCAGGGCCTTGGCAAGGATCTCTAAGGGGCAGCATCCAGGAAAGTGCTATGGATGCCGCAGCAAACCCAGGGATCTTGGCCATCAGAGAGCTCTGGACAGCATAGCTGCGGCTGCTGTGCAGCCTTACTAGTGCCGTGCTGTGGGAAACGAGTTCCTGGGAGAAGTTCCTGCTAACCGTCTCCTGTCCTGCCTTTGCCCACAGCTGGCAGTCGTCATGTGGCTGATGACCTACGTTGGGGCCATCTTCAACGGGATCACCCTTCTCATCCTGGGTAAGACGCCAGAACTGTGGAGTGATATTTGGCAGGTGACCCTTTTTTTACCAATGCAGTCATCACGTGTTAGCCTTCCTAAATCAGACGGAAAGGCTTTCTCTCATGCAATGGGCTGATAGGGTTGCTTCCAGAAAACCCAGGAGCAAGATGTGAAAACCTTAATTTCCCAAGGTTTCTTATTTTATTTCATTTATTAACAAAATTACATCCTATGCTCTCTTCTTTCCATGTTTTTGCTTCTGCAACACGGTATGTCAGAGAGAACATAGTTAGTTAGCCCAAGGTCACATGCTCAATGAGGACTAGAATCTAGATCATCTCAAATTCCCTAACCCTTATATGTGCTGTTTGTCCATCAGCGACCTACCTTCTCAAAACCCTGGTCCCATTTGGCAGACATGGTTAATAGTCGCTGGTTGTTGTCCTCCATAAACGTATCTAATCTTCTTCTAAAACCACATGAGCTTTAAAGATGTCGCTATGCCACATACTATGTTGGTGTGTTCCATTATACCATCTGATTTACAGACCTTAAAGGCTGTTGGGGTCTTGATGAAGAGCTCTATCTGTCATTTGCCTGTTGTGCTGTTTTAAGAACTAAATAGGTACCATCTCAGTGGGAAGGTAAACAGCGTTCTGTGTCTAAGTCGCACTGGCCATGTGACCACGGAAGATTGTCTTTGGACAAAACGCTGGCTCTATGGCTTGAAGAGCGGGATGAGCGCCGCCCCCTAGAGTCGGACACGACTGGACAAAAATTGTCAAGGGGAACCTTTACCTTTGCCTTTTTAAAGGCTATTGGGGTCTTGATGAAGAGCTCTATCAGTCATTTGCCTGTTGTGCTGTTTTAAGAATCTTGCCCATCTAATCAGGCAGCATTTCTCATTACCCCATCTTTCTCCTTAACAAAATACCCAAGGCAGATTACATCTGAAGGACAGCAGAAATGGGGCCAGCCTGGCCTCCAGTGGGAGGGAGTTCCAAAGTCTGGGAGCAGCCACCGAGAAGGCCCCTCTCCTGTGTCCCCCCCCCCAAATGCCCCTGTGAAGGTGGTGGGACCAAGAGAAAGGCCTCACCTGGTGATCTGAACATTCGAGCAGGCTCATGGAGGGAGATGTGGTCTTCCCGAGAGCTTGGACCCAAAGCCATTTAGGGCTTGATAGTTAAGACCAGCACTTTGAATTCTGCCAGTGAAGCTGCTGTAGTGGGGGAGTAATATGCTCCCTGTAGCCGTCCCCAGTTAGCAATCTGGTTGCTGCATTCTGGACCCGCTGAAGTTTCCTGACACTTCCTGTAGGCAACTTCACGTAGAGCATATTATAGAAATCCAGCCAGGATGCAACTAAGGCATGTGTCACTGTATGACCAAATTAGACCTCTCCACTAGTTACAGCTGCACAAAGGCACTCTGGCCCACTGCTGAAACCTGAACATCGAGGCTTGGAGAGGAATCCAGGAGGGGCACCCCCAAGCAGCCTGTTTCTTGGTCTGCCTTTCCACTGACCGGGAGAACCTCATCCAGTTCATCCCTGACAGTAGACACTGAACTAGAGGTGAAACAGCTTCCAAGGAGAGGCAGAGTTCAGTGTTCATCCGCATACTGGTGGCACTAAACCCCAAAACTCCAGGCAGCCTCTTCCAGCGGTTTCATGTAGTTGTTAAAACAACATAGGAGGCCAAACAGAACCCTGAGGGACCCCACAGGCCAGCAGCCAGGGTTTCAAAGACAGGATCCCAGTGTTGCACTGTATAAAACAGAAATGTCTAAAAGCATCTCTTGAGGGAGCTGGCCTGCCGCTTCCAGCAGCCCCAGCCAGCATAACCAATGGCTGGGAATACTGGGACTTATAGTCCAGCTCCATCCGTAGATGGGACTTCCTTTAGCTACCCCTACTTTAAAACATGCCAGGCTGCCTCTCGGTGAAATTGGAGCGCCACTCCTGCTATCCTCCTGGGTTCTTGGTCCACCCCAGGATCTCTGTGGGGGCCTAATGACCTCTATTGTCTCATTGCAGGGGAGTTGCTTGTTTTCAGCGTCCCAGTTGTTTATGAGAAGTACAAGGTGAGTTACTTTACATCTTGGCTTGTGAGACCTTGAGCAACATGGCTGGGGTGTTATGCGGGATTTTTTATTATTATTATTTTAATGGAAAGGCTGACTTCATCCTGATGAGCAAGAGTCAAAGGGCTGACTCATAAAGGATCGCCGTGGGGGTTATCTCCCTGTACCTGGACCCCCATGACCTTTGAGTCACAGAATGCCATGGGACGGTCTAAGGTGGGCATTGACAGCCCCCCCAGGTGTGATCTGATCTTTTGCTTTGAAAGGTTTCCCTCTTTTGGAGAGTCACCAGGAGAGCTGGGGGGGTGGAGGGAGAGAAGGTTAAAGGATGAGAGAGTGATAGAAAGAGGCTTTTGCATCGGTAAGAGGTGGGCCGTGACTAAGACACATGACAATCACAGATGGCTTTGTTGGGCTTCCATCTGATCTCTCCAACTTCTCTGTTTTCAGACTCAGATTGACCATTATGTTGGGATTGCCCGGGATCAGATCAAGTCAATCGTGACCAAGTGAGTCTCTTCCAACTGCTGAGGGCCTTGCTGCTCTTCCGTCTCCACAGGAAGCCACTAGCCTTCCTCCCAGACTTTGAAGCCAAAGTAATGGAGTCATGGTTCCAGCTGCTTTGTGCCACTCACACCTCACCCCCTCCCCGGATAAAAGTATGGAACAGCTGCAGTGGGGAGTGATCTGGCAGCCAAGGGAGGAACAAAGCCATGTTCCTACTTATGTATCAGCCAGCATTGCACCCTGGAACACCTTTAACGCTGTGTCAGGGAGGCGTGATTACACTCATGATATTTTGACTGGTTTTGTTATCCAGTAGCACCTATGATATCAGAGGTATCACCCTGAAATTGAAAGGGCTTTGACAGGTTGATCCCTCCTCCTTGGCATAGAGAGGTCTAATTAAGAACAATTATTGTTGTTTTAGGCTTTCGTTAGGAGCAGGGTAATTGGAAATATCCAGAAGCTTACCGGACCCAAAAGTGAAAGTAACTCCCGGTTTTGAAACAACACAGTCCTTAGTTTAATTAGCTGTGCACTTTCCTTATCCTTCTCTTCGAGGGTTTATGTAACTAAAACCAGTCTTCTAAAAGAAGATATGCAGATTAATAGCTTTTTACCTTGCTGGGTGATGCAGAGGTTCGCTCCGAGCTGGTCATTTCCCCCGAGCGGAAGTGACGTCTCCTTCTTTAAAAAGCAGGCAGGCACCCAGTCCTTGTGCTGTCACTCCCGAACACAAGGCCTGTTTCTACTGGCTTCTAGTTGTGTGGCTCTTTTTGGGACATACACGTTGGCCAGTGGGTTGTCTTGTGCCCCTGTGTTTCCAGCCAAATTTGCCCAGAGCTTTTCCAGAGGTCAGATCTTTTCCCTTACAAGCAGCATAGGCAAATTTTACACACGCCAAGAAACCATTGGCAAGATCCATAGGGACCTTTTGCTCTGTGCTAGCTTAAGTGTGTTTAATTGATATCACACCTCTCCAACGAAACTCAGGGGCAGGCTTTCTTGAGTCCCCTCCATCCAGCAATTGACCAGAATCCAGACCCCCATTTAGGTCCAGTAGGATGATGACTTCAAACCATAGTGCCCGCCCATTTTCAGAAACGTGATATGGATCACTCGGGCGAATGTGGAGGTGGGCAGAGCAGTGGTCTTCAGCCCCCACCCTTCCTTACCCACTGGCTATGGCAGATGACAGATGCACTACTAGCATAACGGGAGATGTTCTTTAACCATTTTAAGCGTTCTCCTTTGTAAGCAGCTTGCAATCTTACCCCTTTCCTCTTCCCCCCCACAGGATCCAAGCCAAGGTTCCTGGAGCTGTGAAGAAAAAGCCAGAATAATTCTGCCAGAGAGCTAGGACCCAGCTGTTCACTAAATCGAAACAGGAAAAAAAAATTCTCTTGTGTCATAGTTATAACCATTGTTACTTGTACCTATGAAGGAACATGCCAAGTCAGCTTGATGTCTGCATTCCAAGCTTAATTGATTTTGTTTTAAAAAAATTCCACTCCTTCCCCTCCCCCAGGCCTAAACACTGGGCTCAAAGTGCACTGGACTAAGCATGAACTGGTGTCAGGAATTTACAAAGGGAAAGCAAAGGGGTGAGGGGACCCTTCTGGCTTTCCCAGCAGGCTGAGCGATCATCGCGTCTTGGATGGGACAGGGAGTGAGCAACCCAAAGCCGGATGCTCTTTCCTGGGCAGAAACATGATCTCCACTCCACCAAACTTCTTGTGGGTTTCAGAACCCAGCCTCATAGGCTAAGTAGCTGCGAGGTGAAGGTGGTTTTCTTTCTTTCTTCCCTTCTCTCTGGAGCTTTGGGTATAATTTGCTGACAATTAATTCATCGCTCCCTAATCTCTAAAATTTTAACAGCAAATTAAGACTTTGTAATCATTTTAACCATTAAATGGACAGGGACACCCATTTATTGAGTTGTGATTTAACATTTCACTGTATTTTAATTGGTTTCTCTCTTGGGGGGGGGTGATTGTGGCAGATGGGGTGGCCATTTGGGCCACTTGTAGAAGTTTTAAATTATTTTTAAATGCATAGATTAACTGTCAACAGTTGCTGCCACGGGTTAATTCCCTGGACAGGGCCCCACATTTTAATTAATTTTCTTAATGATAACAATGTGAACCTTTTAGCGTCAGTGTTTCCTACTTCTGCGCTGTTTTCCCTGCCCTTCCGCCTTCTAGTAAAAATGATTGGATTTTCATCCAGCGCTGTGTTCCCATTCCATGAAAGGCGAAAGGTGTCTCTTGGCCCCTCCGTGGGCTCATCTTATCGTTCTGGCATGAACTAATCAGCCTGTAACAAGAGGGCCAGGTTGAGAACACTCTGAGCTACATCTGGCCAGTTGCTTTCTCTCTCCTGGCGCCTTGACCCTCGCCCCGTCTACCTTGCTGATGGAAAGGGGGGGGGACACCCTCCAACCCATCTCCCTTAATGATGTCAGTTCTGCTCTTTAGTCTGGTTCATCCTCTGCCTTCCTCTGTCGCTGCTCATCATACACCTACAGTATCCTGCCCCATTCCCCCGTGGGGTGAATAAGGTTGTATTTTTAAAAAAAAATCTTAACTCTGAAGTGAAAATGTCTGTAACTTTTGTACACGTTGCTGTAAACAAACAAACAAAAAAAATAAGCTGTGGAAAAGCCCAAACTTCTGCATGTAACTGATTCCTCGACCCCATCCCACCCTGTAATTTTAGTCCTTTGAGGTCATAGAGGTAGGGAATTGCAGAGCACAGGCACCGACATCGAAATCCCCAATGTCTTTGCTCTCTCTTGGCCTCACCTGGCTGTCGGAGAGCCGTAGGACCGGGGGGCTGTAGTTTCAACACAAGAGTTTGCATCCTTGACTCAGAAACTCACTAGTGCATATTTACTGTTGTGTCTTTACTTTTAGAGAGACCGTTGGGTGAGCGAAAGGTGGCATCGGAGAATTTTGTTCTGGGAAAAGTTGCTTTTGTCGTTGTCCCTTGGGAAGTCTCTGTTGAACAGATTTGTCGCAATAGGATGGTTTGTCAGCTTGCAGGCGCCGGGAAAACGGACTCTGTGCACCAAGTTAAAACGACTGCATTGCAAATTTTATGATATTCTGATGAAATGCGGAGTGGGGGGGGTAGAGAGTGGAAGATTGGTTTGGAATTCTGCTTAATGGAGGGGAGTCCCTCACTTCTGTAGGCTGAGTGAAAGGATCCGTGTTAGATTGGCAGCTAAAATCACAGGGACCACTGCCTCTCCTGTTAGGATGTTGGGTATGCAGAGTGGAGAATACAGCAAAAGGGATCTCTTGAATTTGCCCAGCGAGTCTGATTCTTGTTGGGTATGCAGAGTGGAGAATACAGCAAAAGGGATCTCTTGAATTTGCACAGCGAGTCTGATTCTTTGCAGATACGGCGGCAGCAGCTGCGGCTGCTACAGATTGGAACACCCCCTCGCTGCCCGGCACCTTTCATACTTCCCACTTCTCTGAACGTTGCCTGTGTACCAAAGCTCCCCTCTGGGAATGGCGAGCAGGGCCGTGTCCTGAGTGCGAAAGGTGTCTGATTTAGTCAGAAGACACCGTGACGTGCAGTGGGGGATGTTTCAGATGTAGGCGATTGCTGGATGGGTTTGTCTTTGGAGAATAAGAGACGGGGCGAGCGAATCCAGATGTTGTCGGGCTGCAAGGCCCATAAGCCCAGGCGAGCATATTCGCTGGTGCGAAATGCCGGGACTTGCAATCCAGCAAAAGTTGGAAGGCTGTAGGGGGCTCGCTCCCTGCTTTAGCAAGAGGCACGTGAATATCTGTATGCTTCTGCACCACCGAACCTGCCCACCCACCCATCTCCCTTTTTTTTCCAAGGGCCTCTTCTCCACACTTGGAGAGTCTTTGGCTTAGCTCTTCCGTATGTCATGTTACTGCTGTGTTTGAGTATCGTGAACCCGATCTCTTCGTGGCCCGGTGGGCTTTCCTTTTTTTTTCTTCCTTTTTTCTTTTTTTAAAAGGTAAATAAAGAAAATGTACGTAGACAGAGAAAATGACAGAAACTACTAATGAAGCTCTTGCGTTTGTGTGCATTTGTGTGTACTGTGTGTACATCGTTAAAACGTATGGGTAGCGCTAAGGGACCAGAAGAAAGCTGGTTTGAGATTTAAAGAAGGAAAAAAATTGCAACTTGATCTGGTATTATTAATAAAAAGAGCACAACGTACAAACTCCACATCTTTTTGGTTTCCTGAGTTTTTACTTTCAGAAAATGATAAAAGATGGAATTTGGAGCCAGGGCGATTCAGTGTCCCCTAAATTCCATTTTCGGAGGTTGTTGAGAGCGCAACTTCCACCAGCCGCAGAATCTTAGAACGGCGGATCTGGAAAGGGACCTTAGGGATCATCAAGTCTAACCAGGATCACGGAGACCCACATCTTTTTGGTTTCCTGAGTTTTTACTTTCAGAAAATGATAAAAGATGGAATTTGGAGCCAGGGCGATTCAGTGTCCCCTAAATTCCATTTTCGGAGGTTGTTGAGAGCGCAACTTCCACCAGCCGCAGAATCTTAGAACGGCGGATCTGGAAAGGGACCTTAGGGATCATCAAGTCTAACCAGGATCACGGAGACGCAGTGCGGGATTGAACTTCCAACCTCTGGCTCTGCAGCCAGCTAGCTCCACAGCTATCCTGCACTCTAGCTCATGGTGAGGACTGAGGGGGAGGTATGGTCCAACATTTACTGAGGGAAGGGGGACCGTAATTTGCTTATTGTTGGAGTTTGGAAAAAACACAGTAGTACTGACATTGCTGCCTCTGTATTGAAGAAGACAAGAGAACTGATGGGTACGCTCTTTTTCAAAATCTTGCTTTTAGAAGATTCGATGCATCATTTTGCTTCTCTTTTCATGCAAACTTGATGATTTTAATTAGAGATGGGATATTTGTTTTTGTCTCCCCAGAGAAGATGATTACAAGTATCGCCACCACAGGTGGCCAGGCCCTTTTGACCCCCCCCTCCAGAACCAGCCTGGTCCACTTACCCAGGTTTTGCATGGCGCGTACAGCCATCATCAGAAGCATTCCACCGGTCGTGGAAGGAGCCCACCCAGGACTTCCCTGCCTCTCTGCACTGCCATCCACTCCAGTGAGGTGGGATGATGCGTCTCCCTGCTCAGCTGCTGAGTGGGAGACAAATACGAATATCCCATCTCTAATTTTAATGCTAACATGCAACTTCCAAGCTCATCTCGTGGAGTCCTTTTGCTTCGGCAAAGCCAATCTGCATGGACAGTCGAAACAGTATGGTTTCTATCCTCCTCCCATCACCTTCTTTATTATGTCTGCAATGTAAACATAACTGCAGTGATTCTCATTTTTCAAGGAGGAGTCCCGAATTTGCCTGCCACATCATGCTGGCTTTGTGACCGTGCATTCCCTCGGCCATAGTCTCAACGTGGTGCTTGGCTCTGACAAAGGGTGGCTTGTCACCAAGACATCACATTCTTCCTGACTGCCTGTACTGAGTCTTTAAAATGGGTAGGCACAGCGTGCTCCTCCACATGTTGAGAATGGAGGGTCAGCCACAGTGGCTAGAGCTAAAAGGAGTTGGAAGGGCTGCACCCTCCTTAAAAATACATATTCAATAAAAAAAATCACTGAAGACTATGCATAGCATTGGCTGAAATCCTGTTATATAACTTCCACTGGCAGAAGGGTAGTGACATTACATGCTTCCTACATCTATCCTATGGCTTGTCTGACTTCTGTGTAACCCCTTTATTGTTTGGAACAAAAAGAGGAAGTCTTTAGTTACCAAAAATCTCTCTAGGCCTGTCAGTTTTCAGTAATCAAAGACTTCCTTCCTTCATCCCACCGCTTCCACAACACAGCATTACATGAGAGTTACGAAAACTGTAGAATAGAGGTTTAGTGATTAAAAATTGTTATCTGGGGTGACGCTATTGTGCTTCCCCAGTCATGCACTTGATTGAAATCCTGTGCATGCAACTATGCCCATCAGAACTTAAACACTGCAGTTGATGGGAACTGAAGTTCAGTAATACATGGAGGAACACAAGTTCCCCAACAGTAAGCAAGGTGGACCGATGGTCAAAAACAGTCTTCCTATAGGCCCTCGTGACCGGTTGGCAGTCTTCTGTGCCTTTTTTTTTTAGCATTTCAAGAACATGGTGAGAGCTAGAATCAATCAGTGGTTGGAAATTGCAAGGAGATATTCAAAGTTTCTAATGATACAAGCTGCACCAGTGTGATGGAATTCATGTGAGATATTTAAGCCGAGTCTGAAAGAACATCTGTTACAGATGTTTCCCCAGACTAAACCTTTCTATGTTGTACTACAGCTCCCATCACCCCCAGCAAATTCTACTGCCCTCTGGATGCAATGGGCTGTGCAATTATGGGAGTTTTAGTCTAATGTATCTAAAGGGCTAAATTTATAATGCCGCCTTGAGAAAGCAATCAAGCTTAATAATTATTAACAACAGAAAACTTTGAACATCTGGGACCGCATTTTAAAATAGCACAATTTTTAAAGGATTTATTTCGACATAACCTGTTTTACAAAACTTAGTGCTTATATATATATTTATATATAGATAATATAATATAATATCAATATAAAAAACATACCTCATGGATGCAAAACACCTTTTCACAAGAGACATGGACAAGGTTTCACCACAGTCACAAGGTCATAACAGGCGTTATTCATTATATACCTCAAGTGTTCACGTTTTACAAGGGGAGCTATAAAAAATATCCAAGCTATTGGTTGTTTTTTTTTAAAAAAAGGAAAGGATGGTAGAGGTGAAGAACAGAGGTGTAAAAAGATGACCCATAAGGGAAGAGGCAGGTTAGAGAAGGGGGCAATGTTTCAAATGGAATAAATTTCTATCGCTGTGGCAGAATGAAAATAAGTGCAAACTTGATCTTGCTCTGTTTATCCTAATGCTTAAGAAAAAAAAACCTGTTGTATGGATATATGTTTTTCAATCCTCATACCCTGTTTCCCCGAAAATAAGACCTAACTTGAAAATAAGCCCTAGTATGATTTTTCAGGATGTTCGTAATATAAGCCCTACCCCAAAAATAAGCCCCAGTTAAGTGAACTCCCGCCCTCCACTCTTGTGCGGCAACCAAAAGAGGATGTGACTGTGTTTGAATACATGTAGATTATTGTACATGAAAAAAATAAAACATCCCCTGAAAATAAGCCCTAATGCATTTTTGGAGCAAAAATTAATATAAGACCTTGTCTTATTTTCGGGGAAACACAGTATAAAGGATTCCTGGCCATGTGTTTCTAAGGTTCTGTTCCACCGTATTCCAATCCTAGTTGCCTCAGCATATGAAAAGGATGAGGACCCTTAAGAAGAGGCTTGGGTCTCCATTTCCCATCCGCTTTCACCTAGAACTCCTCTAGAGTTGGCCCTGCCCAACATCTTAAGGACTAGACAAGGCTAGTTTGTAATGAGATCAAAGCCAACTTGATTTCGCCCCATACGGTCCATTCTGATTAGCTGTAGCTCTCAAGGATCCACAATGAAGACCTTCCCACCAGGATCAAGGTGGGAGAAAGCGGCTTCAAACCCATTGCCCTGATCCCACCATGCCTCTTGGGGAGGCAGAGAAAAGGTCTGAATTCTGCTTTCCTTTTTCTTCCAGACTCGCCTCCTAGGCTGCTCCCAACAGTATCTGTTATGTTTCAAAATCCTCTTTCGGGAGAATCAAAATCTTGCACAACTAAGTCCAAAAGAGGATGATGTGGTGGAGTGTCCATTAAGACTGGGTATCTTTTGGACAAGATTTTGCATCAGCCCCCACTAAGCCTGGCCCAAATAGGAAGGGGTTGTGAAAGACTCTTAAGGGCAAAAGTGTACACACACACACACACACACAAACACAGAGCACCCTGTGATGCTGAGGGTCTTTTGTAGGCCCACAGATCTAGTTGATTCTATTCAGAACTTGGAAAAGTGGGCTGTTGCTTTTTTAAATCAAACTCCCAAAATCCCTGGCCGTGTCTGCTGGAGATCTCAAGCACTTCAGTCCAGAAAAAGAGTAGTTTCCATATTCTTCCTGTTCTCCACCTGCGTCGTCATCATCTTAGAACTCCAGAGCTGGAAGGGCCCCTATGGATCATGAAGTCCAGCCCGTCAAGGAGGACCAGCGGGTAATCGAACTCCCAAACTGCAGCCAGAGATGTAAACTGCTGAGTACACAGGGGAAGGAAGCCTTTTAACTCTTCCTGCTCTGAACAATTATTTAAAGAAACAACAACCTAGCAGTGTCTGTTCGCAGAGGTGCCAACACAAAGAGAAGCGTCCTAGAAAGCTTACTGTGCACTAGTTTGTATCTACAGAACAGGTTCAAAACCAAATTAAGTGCTCCCTGTTGCCCCAGTTACTTTTACAGAAGAAGTTGAGCAATAAGTGCCGATACAAAAAACAAAAATGCCAAAACGCCCTATGGGTCAGGAACTTTAGTCTTCCACTGCATCTCCCACAATCCCCTGGTTGGATTGGAACATCTGGAGCACTGGTTCCCAACCTTGGGTAACCTAAGTGTTCTAGGAGTACAAATCCCATGAGCCTTTGCCACCAGCTGTGCTGGCCAGGGTTTCTGGGAGTTGTAGTTTAAGAACACTTGAGCTATGCAAGATTGAGAAACAACTGTCAGGAAGACCAAAGAGACTCAACCGCCAAAGAGGGAATCGTGAGCCACCTATGGGTCAGGAACTTTAGTCTTCCACTACAACTCCCACAATCCCCTGGTTTTCCTGGTTGGATTGAAACATCTGGAGCACTGGACACTTGGGTAGCCTAAGTGTTCTAGGAGTACAAATCCCACGAGCCTTTGCTGGAGCACTGGTTCCCAACCTTGGGTAACCTAAGTGTTCTAGGAGTACAAATCCCATGAGCCTTTGCCACCAGCTGTGCTGGCCAGGGTTTCTGGGAGTTGTAGTTTAAGAACACTTGAGCTATGCAAGATTGAGAAACAACTGTCAGGAAGACCAAAGAGACTCAACCGCCAAAGAGGGAATCGTGAGCCAGTTGGTACTATCAGCCGCAGCCAGGGGGGTGGCTGGGTTAGGGACTCTCTGGACTCTACCACTGCTTATAGTGGGGGGGGGGACTGAACATTTTCTCTCTATGATGGGAATTCCTATCTTTATGCAGAACAATAATCGGAGAAAGATTTTCCAGCTTTGC